TCTCAATGAGAAGGATATGGTAATTCAGCACTTCCTTGTCTTCGGGGTCGCCCGTACTAGCAGCCGCTCCCGTCGGTGCCTCCTTAGCAATAAATTTCAGAGACTCCCACATAGCTCGATTGATCCGATCATAAGCGTCATTGACACTGACCCGAATGTCAAAGAATTCCTGGTTGGGCTGAGAGAGCATATTCTCAACCGCCGCAGAGAAGTTGGGGAAAACGCGGATGAACGAGATGACCCCCTTCCGCTTGTTGACCTTGACCTTGGTGTCCTCAATTCCCCGGATTTGTTCGTCAACGAAGCGGTTAAACAGGCCATTCAGACGGGAGTGCAGCTTCTGCAGGCAGCGAATAATGAACTCCTGGTTGGTGTCATCAAAGTCCGACATGGCCTTTTCTAGGGCAGACAAAATCCCAATTCCTTGCCTATGCACATGTTAGCTTGCGTATCGCGGTAATTCTTTTAAAAGCCATGTGTCTTACAGAGGATCCGGTTGGATAGCCCAGTCCACAAGGTTCTGCATGTCGGTCGACCAGAATGAGTAGAGCTCGTCCATGATCTGCTCGACTTTTCTAGCCATCCCCCGGTCGGGATCATGCGGTTGCCTGGCGCTGAAATCAGGAAGTGGTCGCTCATCGGGATTGCCAGAGGCCACGAAGTCGGAAAAGTCGATGTTGCTCAAGGAGCTCAAGTGGAAGAAATGAACGATAAAGTTCTGCTCTTTAGAAATCATCTTCAAGGTTTCCTGAAGTGTGCCGGCAAAGACTTCGCAGGGCTCCAGTCTCCCATGCTGTTTCTCACTGGGGGTAAGCCGCAGACCAGCTGCGGCCCTGATCGTTTTGCCTCGTCGCACCGTCAACTTACGTGCTGCCATTGTAATGCCCTCGCTTTCCTTTTCTTTCTCCTGGTGGGTGAAGAGGAGCTCCTGTTCTTCCCCACTAGGTTTCCTGCCGGCTCTCTTCCACGCCAAGTTGTTGTCTCGGAATTCGTTCTGATAAGGCAATTTGGCTTGTTGCTCATAGAGATTGATCAGTCCATGCCACTCAGACCCGCTGACTTCTCTGGCAAAAAGCATCAAGGCGTTGTACATCCATAGCTCTTGGCGGAAATACGCTCGGGCGTCGCTGTCCAGCTTGAGAGGATCCTTGGGGCCGTTCGCTGCAGCATCGACCCTCTTCTGCTCGGCCACCTTATAGGCAATACCCATGAACTGACGGAGTCGTTGCAGGAACATTCGAGACTGTGTACGGTATTCTTCCTTTTTCTCTTTGATAGCGCGCATCTGTCCTATTTCCGTGTCGGCATACACCCCGACGCTCCCTTGCTCCCCCGCAGCATCACCCAACCTTTTTTTATTCTGCCATATATCGGGATCAATCATCAGCATGGCTTTATATAGCGTCGATAGAGCCGCCTCGGTCTCTCTCAAACCATCTGGATTACTGAGCGACGACTCTTTGAGCGGCTGCAAGTCAACGACAGAGATAGAGAGCGTCTTCAAAAGATTTTGAAGCTCATTATGAAGCAACTTCTGGTTTGCAGTCTGCACCTGCAAACCTTGAGATTGTGTCTCGATATACGACACATCTTCGTGCAATGTCTGTACCATATGATTAGAAGGTGAAGAAACAAGGATCACAGCGAAGACTTACGTTGAGTTCATGCGAGTACAGAGTTAGTAGGCCGTCCAGCTCTTCGCACTCTTCAATAGTCTTGTCAATTAACCTTGCCAGTTGGTCTACCTTGCCTTCCTGTTGTTCGAGGTTACCAAGCCAGCTTGTGGCCTCGACGCGCCCGATCTCACGACGAATGTCTGCCTCAAGATCCTCAATCTTCTTGTCATCGCTCAAACGTCCATTCCAGCCAAGGTCAGTCAAAATATCATCAAAGTCTGCACCCCGTCCTTCCAGGATATTCGAGTCAATCCCCAGCGCCTGACAATACTTTATAGTGTTGTCTTCGCGACGCCTACGACGGCCATTCGGCGACGGCGAGACGGACCTTGCTCTTTCATCCGCGACGGTCTTGACTTCGTCTCTGGCGGTATCTCTAGCATCGTCCCGTGATTCAACAGCTGTATGAGCAGTTTCAGCCGCTGGAGGTTGTGTAACCTCGACCGTGGGAGGCTCCAACGCGGTAGGAGCCACAGGAGAGGGCGTTTCTTTAATTGGAGACGGAAGGGCAGGGGCCGTTTCTTTATCGGGCGTGCCAGATGCAGCCGCAGGGGTGACCTCGGTTCCAACTCGAAGCGAGGGTGCGGGAACAACGCCGGTGATCCCGTCTGGTTCATCTGACATACTTTGCTGTTTCTTCGCTGCGGCCAGTAGTCTCTCACCAGCACCACCGGGTCGGGGCTTGAACGCGCCGTAGGCAGTGGCGGCTTTACGCAACGCACCCGCAATGTCTCTGCTTGGTTTCTTCTTGATCATCGGACCCAGCCCCGGGCGGTGTTCATCTGACTCTTCTTCAACCGACTTGGAAGATTCTGGAGAGCTGACCGGTGGTGGACTTGGTAATCTCTCCCGTGGTGGTTCGCTCGCCTCCGCTGGAGGTAGAGGAGTCACAGATGGTGCTGTTTCCAGAGGTGTAGCGGCCACAGATGGTGTAGGTACATTGTTGCTTCTCGAGGAAGCTGGTCTTAGTGCAGGTGGTATGTCGGGAGACTGCATCTTGACAGGACCGGCTGGTTTATCAATGACCTGAGACTCTACCTCCGCCTCTGGAACTGACAGATTTTCCCTGCTCTCGCCCAGAGACTTATTTGCTTCCATGCTGCTTGCCGGGGTCTGCATAACATCGAGGTTCTCGGCAGATACAGACACAGCTGTGCTAGGGCGGGCGTCCTTATCGCGTCCAATCTCGTGGAGACTAGAACTTGAGTTCTCAATCCTTGGCACAGGGCTGGGTTCTAGGCCAGCTTTCCCATCCTGTAGTAAGGGTGATGGTCGAGTGTCTGAGCTAAGATCTGCTTGGCTGCTTGGTGTATGTGACACTGGCTTAGCAGCAACCAGACTATCAGGAACCTCTTTGGTTCTTGGTTCCGGTGGTGGTAGTACGGGTGCCTTGGGCAGACGTTCATTTGACCGCGGAGGAGGTTCACCTCGTGGGTCAGGGGGAACTGCTCCCGGCGGTTGGGGAGTTTGGCCCAACGGCGAAGGAGCTGCCACTCTCCCTGACTGGCTTGTGGACGGCCTTTGCATCTGATCTCGACTTCTTTGCGCTCGTAGAGCGTGCTCTTCAGAGGGCTGCCGTCTGAACTCACGGGAAATATCGCGTGGGCCATCGCGGCTGGGCGCGCGACCGGTGTATGGCGACTGAGGCCGGCTGCCCTGCGAGGAGGGGGAGCGAGTGGCAGGTCCTTGCCCCATGCCTCGCGAGCCCGGAGGAGCAGGAGAAGGGCTTCCAGCGAGCAATTGCCTCTCGCGATCATCAAACCCAATGAGGTTGGGCACTTTTCCGCCGGTGTATTTCCGATAGATCTTCACGAGACTGCCGATGAAAAAATCCTTTTCCTTGGAACTCCTAGCATGCCAGTAGTATGGCTTTCCCACAGTTACTACAAAGCCGACAGTGGCAGCCCATTGCTTATGTTGTTGTTCCAGTGGCGTTGACGGGACAAAGCCGGTATATGACTGGATCGAGGACAAATCGTCGAGCATCCATGTCTTCCCGATAGAAAATGTGCCATCGTTGTTCTCTCGAGCTTTATGCATGCGTACTCTTCCTGATCTCCTAACAGCGACGATAATAACTCGAGGTTTTTTGTTCTCAGGTGGTGAATTGGGAGGGGCAGGGGTCGACGGATGCGCGGCGTCTTCTATGATGCGAACATGGGTTATGTACGATTCGACCACTGTTGCCGTAGAGGGGGTCAGTCTGAATGTCCAGAATGTCGATTTGTAGGAGAAATTCCCATGTCTCGGCGCAAGAGGCTATTTGCTTTAGGAGGACAGGAAAGCAGCAGACTGGAAATAATCCCCGAACTTCCTTCTCAATCGCCGTAGTCTGCTCCAACAAGCAAATTGGAGCGCAACGTAAAGGTGCAAAGAAATGTATACGTACAAGAGCCATCACTGTCCTTCTTTGAGAAACAACTTTGAATGATTCGTCTCTTTTCATCTTCGAACTTCTCCGCCCGTGACATTGTTGCCTCGCCTGGCCCAGTGAAACCGCCATTGCGACCGTCGCCCATCCGACGTGGCTCGCGATGTGGCGGGACATCGTTGGGTGCAGGCACCCGAGACCGATCACGACTGCTCATGGCTGGTTCTTTGCGCCTTCAAAACTTCGATCACTCGTGGGGGATGATTTGAGGATTAGACGAACATGGTCGGAGAATCAGGGGCGGGCAACTCGGAAAAGACGCGCCCTATAGAAGAATAAATCTCAAACTAGGGAAGCCAAGAGGCTTGAGATGCGATACAGACCATTGAAGTCAACCGAGGGACTTGGTCGCAAGTGCAAGCAAGCTTGATGAGAGTGTTGTCGATTATACAGCCACGGAGGAGCACAGCAGCGAATTAGCTCATCAGCCACTGGGGTTGGGTCACTCGCGGACGCTAGTCACTCAAAAGTGGGCGGAGAGCTGTCGCTAAAGTATGTCGGGTGGATAATGACTTTCCGGCTGTTTCCATTGAATGAAGAGCTCGAGTTTGATTTATTATTGTTTTGAATGCTGACACTTTCTCCAAAAGAACAATAATTATTCTCAATCCCATTGTCATGGTTTACTGTCGTACTTACAGAGGTACCTTGTTGTGATTTGGTAAGCCATCCTCAGTATACATCATGTCACGGGGAACCACGTGAGCCGGCCTCGAGGCTAGACCTGAAAAGGATAGCCAATGAACACACTGTCTTTATTGACCGCCTTGTTTGCCGTTTTTCTGCCCAATTTTTTTGAACCTTTTTTTTTCTCCAAGTGAAGACGAAAAACACCGCTACGAGTTCTTTGTTATCTCTTGCTCGAGGCGAAGCAATTTGAGGCTTTGGTCAAAATGGCGGCACAGAAAGTGAAGAAGGCGTCCTCAAAGGCGCCCGTGGAGAAGTCGAAGGTAATTCATTTGTTACTCGCAAGCATGTATACTGACCCGGTGCACTGACGAGATTCTGCTCCAATAGGCAAAAACTGCCACTCCTCCACCAGAGTTAATCGCATCGATTGCTGCGTTTTTGTCTCAGTCCGGCTTCAAGAGTACAAGCGAAGCCCTTGCCAAAGAGCAGTCTAAAAAGTCAATCGCCAAGGCCGACTCGAAGGATGTCCCCTCTCTGCTGGACATCTTCCAGAGTTGGCAGGACCGGAAGAGCGAGAGCAGCTCCGACAGCGATAGCAGCTCGAGCAGCAGTGAGGATGAGTCTGGTGACTCTGATGTTGAAATGAACGACGCGCCGAAAATGCAAAAGAAGGAGTCTAGAGGATCCTCTCCTTCCTCTTCCTCTTCCTCTTCCTCTTCCTCTTCCAGCTCTGACAGTGATGCCGATGACGAAGAGGATGACGATGCCGTCCCCGCGCTTGCTCCAGCGCTGAAGTCTACCGGCACCAAGCGCAAGGCCGAATCGAGCTCATCTGGATCGTCTTCGGAATCGGAATCCGAAGACGAGGCACCGAAGACCAAGAAGGCCAAGCTGTCGACTAAGTCCGACTCATCCTCATCTTCATCTTCCGAATCGTCGGATTCGGAGGACGAGGAATCCGGCTCCTCCGACAGTGAGAGCAGCGCTTCATCCTCTGATTCCGACTCTGACTCCGGCTCCGAGTCCGAGTCCTCCGACAGTGAGAGCAGTTCTTCGTCTGATTCCAGCTCAAACTCCGACTCCGACTCCTCATCCGAATCCGAGAAGGAACCCGCCAAGAAGGCTGCTAAGAAGATCCTGAAGACTGCTGCCAAGACACCCCTGCCTGAGTCAAGCTCCAGCTCGTCCAGCGACTCTGATTCATCCTCCTCCTCCGAGTCCTCCGACGAGTCTTCCTCCGATGAGGATCAGAATACCAATAGCCGCAGCTCCTCGTCTTCTCAGAACTCATCCGGTAGCAGCAAAACTGTCCAACCCTCTGATTCCGATGCGAAGGAGCCCGTAAACAAGGCTACAAAGCAGGTTCAAGAGACCAGTTCGTCCAGCGCCAGCCCTGCTCCCGGAGATGACCCAGCCAAAAAGAAGAAGCACACTGGAGCTCGTCCCACGCCTCTCGCTCAACTTAGTGAGCTGCCACACGACCACCCCTCGAACCAGTACATCCCATATGCCTACGCCGAAAAGGCTTGGAAGGATCTGTCCGTCACTCGTGGCAAGGGCTTCACAAAAGAGAAGAACAAGAAGAAGCGTGGCTCCTACCGCGGTGGCCCCATTGACATCTCGGGAGGCAAGTCCTTCAAGTTTGAGGACTAAGCTTAGCATCATGTGTCCCGTCAGAAGCCGCTCTATTTTTAACAGAGCAATAGAAGTGTAGACGAGACTTGCGCTTTATTTTCATATGCATTCGTGCCTTTTTTTTTTTCCGTTTATTTTACTTTTCCAAAAGTTCTGTTCTAGACGAGACTAGATCGAGAAGTAATCTTGGGATTCTGCCATACATTTCATGTTTCTTTAACAAGCAGGGCGCTAATGGAGCTGGAGAGAAAATTCTTTATTTTATTTCTATTCTTTCTAGAATTAGTGGCAATGTGCATCGTTCTTTTGAGCCTTGTTTTTGGGAGTAATCCTCACTCATCCCACACATGAAACCCTACACTCGTTCTTGCATAACCGAATGTAGATTGCCGATTGAGACGGGGTCACGACACTCACGTAACCATATCCGACCGTCTCCAGGCACCAGGTGGTCCTAACCGCTGCCATCGTCTATCCCAACCAGTAATCGTCTCATGTTCAATATCATCGCGTCCAATCCGCGCAAAGGGCTGCTGAGTCCTCAACTTAGACGCACTGGTTGAATCCCGACGTTCGTAGCCCGAAAGCTCTATGATGCGATCCGCTTGAGTCGCCGGACGAGTCAAATCTGCGCTCAAGCCGAAATAATCTCGATACCATGCTTGCGAGGGGCCCGTCAAATCATCCGACGAGGCGAAGTCGAGTCGCATCACCCCGTCAACGATGCCGGTGTAAATGGTTGACGAGGAGGGTGAGGGGGAGGACATGGTGTAGATTGGTCCGCGGTATTGACGATCTACGCGCGAGCGTGCTGCTTTCGAGTTCAAGCGGACGGAGGGGGAGGTTGTAAGGAAGATTGAGAAGTCTTTGCGCGGATATGTGACAGTGTCTTGGAACCCGTTGAGGTATGGAGTGGAACCGTTTGAGGTCCGACGGAGGTCGTTTGGAGGAGAAGCAATTTGTGCGTCCTTGTGACTGTAGACGCTTTGCATACGGAGGTCGAAGATCTTGACCACGGCGTCTCCGCCTGCGCCAGCTAGAAAACGATCCTGGCCGAATGGATGTATGCAATAAATGGGATTCGTATCGATTGTGTCTCGGTAGGTATACTCGAAAGGGTGGCGCGAGCGTAGATCGTGAAGTCTGGTTATGGAAGTTAGCAGACATGCAATGAACCGAGAAACATAAGGAAAATAAGTACCTGATGCAGCGGTCACCCCAGGCAGCAAGAAACACTTGTCCGGAGGATTCTCTGGTGAATTGAGCAGTGAGAGGGGCGATTGCGCTCACATTGGCCTTTCGACGTAGGCCGATACTTTCCCCGATATCCAGGGAGGTCACACTGATCTCGCGGTTAACTGATAGTCGTTCTTTCGAAACCGTGGCGATAGTCAGAGAATTCTCCTGGCGTCCCGTTCCATACGCAATACACTCCGGCGACAGGAACTTGGAATACTTGTTACGTGCCGTGCCGTCTGGAGTGATCTTGCAATGCGCAAACGACTCAACTTCGGGTTCTTCCGTTGTCGTCTGATAGAAGACAATAGACCCATTGTTCAAATGGGCCGCCAGAATAGGCTCGTCACCTCCGCTTAACTCTGTGCGCTCAAGTCCATGGCCGTTAGTCAAGAAATGTTGGTAGTATTTGTAAGACGCCGTGTCCGGCGAAATCGCAACACGACATAGGTCACCGTTCAGACGACCAAATATGATGTGCTCGTCGCCTGGCTTTCTGCTATAATGTTCTTGCTTGAGGAGATGTACACCACAAATGTCATGGTAGCTGCTGATCTTCGTCTTCACATCGTTAAACATGAACCACTTCTCTCCACCGTTATACGTGGGCTGCCGAATCCGCAAAACTAACTCATCTGCAGCGCCCCAGACGAGCACCTCCTTTCTTTCCGACCAGGAACCACCCGGCCAAGATTCATATGAATCAATCGAGGGTCGATACCCATGTGTAGGGTTGTCCTGCCGTGTGCCCCGATGGGATCCAACCTTCACCGCATCTCGTGGGGGGAGGACGAAGCGACAAAGCAGTCCGAGTCTGTCCAATGCCCGGGCACGCGCCGTGAGCGCCTGAGTTGCATCCTTCCAAAAGGGAGGCGTCTCAACGAAAGGGAACCGGTTCTTGAAATGTGCATGGAATACCCGCCAGTCTTCAGCAGCGATGACCTTGTGGAGGCGTTGACAGGTCTGAGCGAGGGCGGCCAATGAGCTGGCGGACGGAAGATATGTTGCTATCACGTATATTATGTCAGATGGTAAATCGGACAGCAGCATTTCGAAGTCAATTTCAGCGCAGTCTTTCTTTTAAATCAAGCAATGTATGTAGAGGACGTGAGGAATGATGTTGATCCTTTAAAGAACTTTAGCAGATGTTGCTTGTAGAGGATTCCAAATATTTGAGATGTTAGCCGAAAAGCATACCTATACTGTGTATTGAAGTGTCTTCAAGAAAAAAGGTCTATATACTGTTATAAAATGTCTCATCATTATGTTTCCATAGCGATCAAGGGCATTTTCTGTGGATTTGAGTAGGGCTGTCAAGGCCCATCAGTCACCGCGGCGATATCTTATGTTGAGGAGTCATGGCTTGACTCATGCAGTAACACTTATTATTTAGTAGGAACTCAGATAACCAAAGGAGACCATGAACACCAGTTGTCTTTTATGAACGAAAAAGTGTTTATAGCTGTCCAACATTCAGAAACAAAGCCTGACGTAAGGGTCTGAGAAAATCAGTTAAATATAACTAAGTCAAGTATTGTGTGCCTCCTTATGTCATCATCGGTGCCTTTGTCCGCTATTGATTCCTTATCGTCTTATCAGCGTGGCTTATCTCTGTGTGCTCATGCGGGGTGTTGGAGTACTCCAACGGTCCACCCCGATGTTCGTAACTTCGTATCGATTTCGAATCCACTCATTAGTATCTATTACTAAAAAACCAAGACATCGTCCATTGAGTCACATTGCCGCTCTACCGCTCGAATCTCCCTTCGCCGTTAAGGAACTCTGATTCTGGGGCAGCAGAGTTCCTCATGCGGGGTTGCGTATATGGAATCCTCATACGGTAGGTCCACCCTGTTATGGCAGTCCCTACCGTCCATCAGTTCTACAAAGTGAAGTCAACTGATACACGTATGTAGGCGTATAAGTATCTGCGGATAAGTTGGTTATGAGCTTTCTTACCGCCACTCTAGTTGATGCGGCATCTTGAGAACCCCAGGTAACCTGAGTTGGCTTGTTATTTCGACCAAGTCTGCGAAGATGGCGGTCTCTATATACACATCGCTAGCAATTGTGGTTTTGCTACTCTTTGTAGCATACAAAGCAATTGTGTATCCAGTCTTTCTATCGCCGCTCTCAAAGATACCGAATGCACATTGGTCAGCCTCCATCTCACCTGCTTGGATACTCTGGAAGCGTTTTAGAAGCCAGAATAATCGAACTATCCAAGCGGCTCATGAACGACATGGGCCTATTGTGCGATTGGGTCCCTCCGAGATCTCGATAAATTGCGTTGAGGGGGGTATCAAGACGGTTTACACTGGAGGCTTCGAGAAGCATGAGTGGTATCCTCGGGTCTTCGGATCGTTTGGGTAAGAAGACCCTGAAAGTAGCAGGGTGAAACTGCTGACTGACGCTCGACACGTAGAACCGTCAGCATGTTCACCATGACTGGAAGCAAAGATCACTCGGTTCGCAAGAGGATGTTGTCCAACATCTACAGCAAGTCGTTTCTACAGTCGTCGCCTCATATGCGTCTTATCTCGAGAACTATAGTATATGACCGCCTTCTCCCAGTTCTATACGAAGCAGCCACTTCAAACAAACCTGTCGATGTCCATGATCTCAACCAGGGACTGACAATGGACTTCGTGTCAGCATATCTATACGGCATCACAAATGGCACTAATTTCCTCCAGGACGCGCCTTATAGACAAAGGATGCTCCATTTATACCAGAGCAGGAAGCCATTTGAGTTCTATCACCAGGAAGTTCCTAACCTTCTTTCTTGGACAAAGTCTTTGGGTATCCGCTTGATACCAAGATATTGCGACCAGGCCAACGAGATCCTTGACTCGTGGGGTCTGGGACTCTGCGATAAAGCAGAGGAATCGCTGAAATCCACCAGAATTGAGGATGAGCCGGCTGTGTATAAACATCTCAAGCAGATGATGTCGAAGAACCTTCCTGAAAACAAAAATGACGAGGAATATGCGCGTATCCTCGACCAGCAGCGGCTTGATATTGCCTGCGAGATGTACGACCACCTGACGGCGGGTCATGAGACCAGCGCTGTCGCTCTTACGTATCTCCTTTGGGAACTCTCCAAGCGCCCTGAATTACAGGACGCTCTTCGCGAGGAACTTTCCACCCTTGAACCCATGATTATCTTCCCTCGGCCGTCCGAATCCGCGGAATTGCCTCCGGCAAAGTCGATTGACTCCTTGCCGCTGCTTGAAGCAATAGTCACGGAGACACTGCGCCTCCATGCTCCAATCCCAGGAATCCAACCTCGAGTCACGCCGTACCCGTCTTGCACTCTGGTGGGATACAACAACATCCCTCCTAATACTAGGGTCAATGCGCAAGCTTATTCCCTTCATCGCAATCCGGATGTATTCCCAGATCCTGAGACTTGGGAACCGAAACGGTGGCTGAAAGACGTCAACACTTCTTCTGAGTTGGAGGAAAGAAGGCGATGGTTCTGGGCTTTCGGAAGCGGGGGAAGGATGTGTGTAGGCAGTAACTTGGCTTTGCAAGGTAAGGGAGCATTTTCGTCACATAAAAGTCTCAAGCTGACGTGACTTCAGAAATAAAATTAGTGGTAGCTGCTGTTTACACTAATTTCAACACCTCGATCGTCAGTGATGATAACATGGAAGCGATTGATGCATACACGGTGAAGCCAACAGGAGAGAAGCTGATCCTCAGATTTGAACTAGTTGAGTAGTTGGTACCGTCAAGTCGAGTCTGCGAGAATGAATGAATTTAGCCATGCTATCCTACAACCAACCTCCTACAATAACGTCCTGCGTGCCAGTCACCAAATTGAAATGGTACAGCTTCGTACTCAGTGAAGCATAAGAGGAATATGGCAGTATGGACTGTAGAATAGAATCACGAGGCGCTGATGACAAACAAGATATATGAATTGGCAGATTAATGTACAGATACATATACAAACTCCCACATCCCCTGATATAAAAGCACAGCCTTAAGTTGCCGTAAATCGAGACCCAAACTCTGGTGATAGTGTTTTGACTTTGCCCGTCAATCACAACTCAGTTCATAACCCAGGGCTGACCAGAGCTCTGTAATTCTGTCAAGCCACCGCCAACGAAATCGAGCCGGGGACTGAAGGGTGTGTAACTGGTGCGATATTTGCGACTGGGAGGGTATAATCGCAATGCGTCGGACGAGCTGGTTTAACCAAGACGACCCTCCTTCTTCTGAGGTCCGACGACCTTGGGATACATTCTCATAAGGTGGTAGTTGATGGTGTTCTTCTTGTTGCCCTTGAGTTTCTGCACGAGACGAGTCGCTGTCAGTATTGAACGTTGTAGACGATAAAAATCGGAGCAGAGGTAGAAACTATAGTTAACATACCGGTCCATCCATGCATTGTCTCAATTGTTGCTCCAAGGCTGCGCAACCCTCCACAGAGCCTCCAGAAGATGCCCAGCAGCCTATCATGCGATAGTTAGCTCTTGATTCGAGATGCAGAGTTCAATTCCTGCACTATTGGCAAGGGCGGATTATGAAGCTGCATAGAAGCCACGACAATTGCAATAAGTAGATGAGGGACATACTAAGCATAGACGACATGATCGTCACGCAGGGATTCTGCTCATGTTGATTCGGACGCCGAACCCGCAGGTGAGGGATGGTCTGCAGGCGGACGGGGTTGAGGCGAGTCGAGACGCCCTTGGGAGGCATTTTGGCAGTCGAATTGAGACAATAATCTCTCAGACTGTTGCACTCGAAGAGTGGAAAAGCAAGAGCAGCAGCGTAGTTTGAACCCTCAGCCAAGAACCCTTCAACCTTGCAGCGTCAAGAAATTCTCGGGAAACTTTCGGAGGTGCCAAGACTTTCGGTGGCTGCTGCGGAACGGCTGACATAAACACTGCCCCGAGGTAGTTGTAACTATCAAGACGATAAGCCCGAAGAGCTTCTGCATCGCAGAACTCTCAAGCTCTCTTCTCCAATTCTGTTGAAAAGTTCATTGTGGTATTTTGATTCTTTATAGATATGAGCACAAGACATACAACTATACTCAGAAACACTGCGTCGTTACACCGACTCTCGAGACAGATTCACAGACCTTTCTCTACGACGAGCCGGAGGCAAAATGCGGACTCTCAGACGAATGCAAGCGATGCTTCACATTCGCAGGGTAACCCAGAAGAAGAAAGCGCCATGCAGAGAAGGTTATCCGAGATGACCGAACAAGCTATGCTAGAAGGAGGCCGGTCAGCACAAAGGAACATAGAGCAGGCGGGGTTCTCTGAAGATCTCAAGAAGCGGCTGCAGGAACGAATAGCGGCAACTGCGTTCAAAAACGAATATGCTGCAGCTCATTCAATTGTCGACATGCCGGTAAGTTGATACAAGGCGCAGTTCATACTACAGGCTTGGCTGACCAAGTGAAGCAAAGTGCAGGTCAAGGTACTCGAGACATTGCCGGCGCTGCTCCCTGGACAGGGACGGAAAGCCTCCACGACACCACCCTGCGCATGTTAGATAGTTCAAAGAAGCCGATGCGGGTCCCTTACAAGATTCCTCAGCCTGCTCCGGTTGATATGCGCATTAGTCCCAAACCCTCCAAGTCCCCGGGCCTCCGAATCGCCGATGCGAAAGAGCGCAGCGCTACCTATACCTTGAGTCAAAGCCCCGGGATATCGGGAGACGAGCGTGAAGCCATGCGAAGGGAGATGAGCGAGAGATTCACCACTGGTGCGCGGCCGATGCCGATGACCCTACAAGGATTGTCATCTCTTGCAAACGAACGGATAGAGGACGCAATTGCGCGTGGACAGTTCAACAATATCAAGCGAGGCAAAGGTGTCAATGTCCAGTCAGATCACAATGCAAATAGCGCGTTTATCGACACTACGGAATACTTCATGAACAAGATCATACAGAAGCAGGAGATTGTGCCACCATGGATCGAGAAGCAACAGGAGCTAGCGAGGGAGGTTGATAGATTTCGACAACGTTTGAGGGTTGAGTGGAGACGACATGCAGCAAGATTGATCGCTAGTGAGGGAGGGTCTCTAGAAGCTCAGATGAGACGTGCCCGGGCTTATGCGGCAGCCGAAGCTCGACTGGCGGAGAGAGCTAAGATTGAGCAAGCGTTTCGGGATACGGAAGGGGATGCGTCCTCTACACCAGCAGATGAAACGACAAAGACCGCATCAACCTCAGACTCTGATGAGAATCAGCTACCACACTTTTCGCCACTTCGTGATCCACAGTACCTCTCAACCGAGCGTTCGTATCACGAGCTTCAAATTAAGCACCTTAATGCCTTGACTCGGTCGTACAACCTTCAAGCGCCACCCGTCGCCCAAAAGCCGTATCTCAATCTGGAGCGGGAGCTAAATAACTGCTACGCAGATGTCGCACCAAGTTTGGCGGAGGAGATCAAACGCCGAGCTACGGAAAGAGCCAGCCCTCGTGTGGCGACAGCAAAGTCAAGCACCAATAAGGTACTTAGTACCTTCAGTACTGCTCAGACTTCCCGTGTCTACGACGAGGACGCGTCCAAAGGCTACGGATTCAAGGATCTCTGGCGTGACCTGTTCTCGAAAAGGAGCGAAAGGTAAGCCAGATGTACATATGTCTGGGATATGTCGTGTACGATATGAGTGGAATACACCTTGGACTGGATCCATCGTGCTATTTCTATTAATTCTGGCCAGAGTGATGAGACATTCATACTCAGTATATTGATAAGTTTGACATTTCTTCTAAGAATACTGCCGAGGGAGAATGTGCTGCACACATCTAGGAAACACTGAAGAACAGATGCTTGATCTCAATAATGATAACAAGTCATGTCGCATGAGGAAATATTGAAAGCTCAAGGTCGCCGCTGTCTTTCGAGCCACGACACCAGAATTGCAGGAAGCTGTTTCTCTATGACCCCGTTCGACACGTTCCGGGATTCTTCCACTGCTGCACGACGGGCATCCCGCAAGTCAAGCCAGAGTAGGGTTACTGCCTTTACAGAGTAGAAAAGGCCAACACAACCCACAGCTATCCAGAGAACCTCCAATATCTGAAACTTGGCACTCTTAGGTGCAAAGACAAAACGAATGAGCGTCCAAACGTGGAATTGCAAGATGGCAATGACCAAAGAAACTGCGAGCGCCATTGTTGCGATGCCAGCGCGTGTGGCGAATCGTCTCTTCTGCTCTCTGCGTCTTGCGAGGTCTGCTTGCCAACCGTAGGATGCTGTATGCCTTCGGACGAAGATTGGCAGATATATAACCACCATAAACATGGACGAGAGAACAGACACAGCGACAATCAAACTGGCCCGAGAAAGATGGAAAGGCGGGCCGCTCTCTGGCGCGGCTCTTTTCGACATTTGGTGATGCCTTTCATCGCTTGGCGAGAACGATTCGATGGCTGATAACGCTCTTCTTTTCAAAGGGATTATGAAATTATGCCATGGAATCTTAGGCCAACCCCCAATCGGCCATGCAGCCTGTGCTAGGTCGGAGTCTCCGAATGGCAGACGGGAGATGAGCTCCACATCGCCAACCCAGATCTCATTGATTCCGTTCCCTTTTTCATAGTAGTGGTCTGATTTCACACCGTGGATCGCGGAGACTTTGTTTCCCATAGTGGCCGGAGGCGAACGGGGAGTGCGAGGGCAAGATATAATAAAGCGAGTGACCAACCAACGCTCAAGAGGTCCTGTTGCCAACGAATGATCCGACTGATTCCATTGCAAAGAAGCAGCAAGTATATGTCTTCAACCAAGGAGATAGATCGCCATGAAGCACAATAACTAGGCAGTACATCGCTGTTTCCTAATTGAGTAATCATACAGTATCACAGCAATTGTGGCCTCAGGCAAGAATGGAAGCTTTGACCAGTACTTACTAGCCTCATACGGGTTAGCGGCTGTGACTTAGATTGAACATGGGTTTGATGCCTAAGGCAAATATCTAGATAGAGGAGGTATGTTCTTTCGAAATCCACAAGATCAGGCTCTACAATAATCCGGCAGTCTTTTGAAACATCGACTCGTCTTTCCGTCTCTTCGGTAAAAGTTGACTGACTACCTGTAATTAGCATAGTAATGTTGCTCAACCATTACTAGGGAGTGTCTTCGTGGCCAACGATAGGATGTGATGGCGTGCCGTGTGTGCATCCCGGCGCGTATTTGCACCAACCGCCGTCGTCGGTTGCATCGTCTCAAAAGTGTCACAGTCTTCTTCAAACCTTCTACCAGTAAACCCTGCAGGTCTCACAGGCTCTTCCTTAGCCTTCACACTATCACATCCAATAAGTCGGCAATATATCCACTATCCCCCCTCTCATTCAAGGATGTGTGCCATTTTGTCTGTTTCCGTAAGAGATTTGCGGGCTCATTCGCAATCACTCGATATGTATACTGACCATACTTAATTGCTTGTTTTCTGGCGGATACGAAAGATGATGCTCTTGTTAATGTTGCTCCTTTTCACTCTTTGTCATATTGCTACTGCTGGCTCAGTATCCTTTGGAGATCTGACCTTGAACCTCGACCTGGATCGTCGAGGTATTGCTTTGTCCACGGAACCTCCGGTGGATCAGTCCCTACTGGCAATTCAGATAGGAGGCATTGTTGGAGCATACGTGATCTTCGTTGCCATACTTTTGACTTTGTTACTCTTCGTGGGACGACGACTGCGAAGGGCGGTACAAGCATCCAACTACACTCTACAAGTTGAGATGATGAAACCCAGCAAACAAGCCGTTAGCATGGATCCCAGTCCTATCACCCCAATCTCAGCTCGTCTTCCAAGTCCAACCGGACAAAACGGCTTCAGCAGGTCCTGGGGCAGCTTGGCTAACGGTCCAAGATCCCACGTCTCCGGCAATGGCAGCGCTGCTACGATTGATGAATCCATTGTTGCCATCGATCGGCGCAGGGCTCAAGAGGAAATGGAAATGCTCTATGCGGCAGTTATGGAGCACGATGCACAGCGTGCGGCCGGGATAGATACCTCGAAGCAAGAGTGGGAAGTTCAATCGCCAGACAGTGTGCACACCAATCCGTTCACAGATCGTTCATCGCGGACTTCAGAAAGGCCCTCGATCTCGCAGATGAAGCCCCCCGTGAGCCCAAAGAGCTCGAGGTTATCGAAGATATCGTCCCTGTCCCTGTTCAATTCAAACCCGCGTCCGCAGTCAAAAGCGGGCAAGCTTCGGTCTCCTCGACTGCCTCTACGCAATCTGTCCATTTCCTCACCTGTGGGCTCTCCTGATTTAACCGCACCGAACTCTTATGGCGAGGAACAAATGCCGTTGACCCCTCGCCTCTACAACCCGGCTCCTCCGCCAGCACCCCCAATAACAATCAGTCAGGCATCTAGTCAAGTGTCTCTAGGGAAGCCCCCTGGACGAGCTCCTGCCCCAGCTCCCCTGAGCCTTTCTACAGCGGGCCACGGCTCGTCTTCTCTCCCATTCCGTGACGCATTTCCCTTGCAGAGTGCTCCTCCGACCAAGACGACGGTCATAGAACGTCCCTTAAAACCACTAAACGGTCCCCGAACGGGATTGCCGACACCGTACAGTCCATATATGCCTTTCACCCCTGTTACGCCCCTCACACCCAGCCGTATCGTGACCAAGCGGCAGCGCAAGCGAGAGACTAAGGAGAACGGCTTGCGGGTCTTGAATGAAGATGACATAGTCAAGGACGACGGGGATATGTGGGGATACTGATCAGATTTGCCTGGTTCAAGTCTCTCTGTTGGTGTTTTTGGCAGTATTTTGTGATGCAGATTAGATAGTTATACCTCACTGAGATGGCATCTGGTGTTTTTTACTTTGGTTATCTGCGCTTTATCAATTGGGAGGTAGTCTGACTAAATGGAAGAAGTTTGTATTTGCATATTTGCACCATTCGAATAGTCATGATTTCTGCCCTTGAGGGCCGTCGGCATCTGAGAATGGTGTTTCACATGTAGTCGATGAGAGAATGTACGCGCATATGCACAAATGAAAATAAATTTAATACGTTTATGCTCATCATAGAACTTATGCGATAATTATGTATGAAACAACAATAATCGAGTCATCAAAATTATCATGTCACTACTTGCAGTAAACACAGGCATTCGGCCCCGCCCTATCTCCAAAGTCCGAGCTGAGCCAAGACTTGACTTCCGTCATCTGTTCTGGATAACGCGAGAATCGCCGACCGGTTGCGGGCTTAAGACTTTGGATCCCACCCAAATGCGGGTCACAGGATGTGCAAATCGCCCATCATGAACTGTCTTGCGTATGCTTTGCGCGATTATTTATTATTGTGGTCGAACCAGACTACCTTAAGAGTCTATTTATTTATCGAAGCAAGTCGAAAACGTGGATGACTTGTTGCTCTGCCTTAGTCAGGCTGACTCTCACCTCGTATCACTCATCCTCTCTTCATCCTGTATCACGCTTTTGGTCTTCTTCAGGTGTCACTAGAATTTTCTTCTAGTCAGTCTACTTGATCGACGTCCATCTCCTCCTTATGCCGCTGACCGTCCTCTCCCAAGCGCAGCTCGGCTCGCTGCTGCTGTCCCTGAACCGGGATGAGGTGTCCTCGCTACAACAAAGCCTCGCCCAGGCCCTACTAGACTACTCGACCGGAAGCCAGGAACAGGGCTGTGCCGCTACTTACCAACCTCTAAGAACCGCTATCACCCGGCAGAATGGCTGCACGACACTTTTTATGCCCGCCAGTACTGGCCGAACGATCGGCATGAAGATGATTTCACTACAAGATGGGGGTGCTGCAGGGTGTGCTGTGGAAGGCGCTTTTGATATTCCCGAGGGAACGAAGACTGCTTCAAGATCGCGGACAGCGGGCCCAAGGAGCTCCATGACGTCGCTGTCGTCTGGAATGAGTGATCTGTCAATATCATCACAGGAAGAAGGATCGACGAGTTCATCTAGCAGCCGGTCGCTCAAGTCTGGCACTGTGAACCGACAATCGGTTGGCTCGAGCTCGAGCTCGAGCTCGGGCATCTCCAAGACACTAGGTGCATGGCCCGGAGCTGGTACTCGAGACACCTCGCCGCAGGGCACTCTGACGTTGCTGGACGCCGACAGCATGCCGTTCGGATTGATCAATGCTCACGAACTTACGCCGTTCCGGACGGCCCTGGCCACGATGATGATTTTCAACAAGCGCAAGAGAGTGCGCACTGTGGTGGTTTTCGGGGCGGGTAAACAGGCTTATTGGCACATTCGATTGGCGCTCACGCTACGTGCAGCCGATATCAAGCGGGTCGTCATCGTCAATCGATCGTTTGAGCGGGCAGCCAGGCTTCTCAAGGATATCTACTCACAAGAAAACTCCAGCTGGCGCGGCGAGGTGAAGTTCTCCGCTGTCAGTACTGATTTCGGCGAGTACGACCGTATCATCCACGACGCTATCCATAAATCGGACGCGATCTTTTGCTGTACTCCGTCCATCGAGCCGCTTTTCCCCGCTGGGCTTCTCACCTCCCGCGAAGGTCGCCGAAAGGGTAGATTCATCAGCGCCATTGGGTCGTACAAACCTCACATGACCGAGCTGCATCCAGACATCCTGCGCGACGAGGTGAACGCGCACCATTCCGGTCGACATTTCCACAAACACATTAAACGTAGTGGAGTCGTGGTAGTCGACAGTCTCGAAGCTGCTCTGAAGGAGGCCGGTGAATTGATCCAGGCAGGCATCAAGCCGAACCAGGTTGTTGAGCTGGGAGAGCTCCTAATGGTACGGGACGCATCGCGAAAGGACAACAACCAGGACGGAGAAGACACCAAGAGCCTGCGCGAGTGGGTTGAACGAGGCAATGTCATCTACAAGAGCGTAGGCATGGGCTTGATGGACTTGGTGACCGGAGGTGATCTCGTCGAGATGGCTCGGACAAGAAATTTGGGAACCATCGTGGAGGACTTTTAGACTCTATGATTCTCGAGTGTCAATTCTTCGCTGTATTTTGCCGGACCAGTTTCGCTTGTTATACCCTTCAATCGATTTGACTATGGCTGCGAGCATCAGGAGATATAGCTAGTTGGCAGATCGCCAAAAAGTATGACATCAGAGGAAGCTTATTAATCTCTCTTGCGATCGATAGTGGCACAATCAACGCACTATTCAATGCTTACCTCTCTACAGTAAGATCAAATAAATCCAATGACTCAAGACGACATGAAATTTCTTGTGTGCCCCTCTGAGATGGCGGAAATGTCCCCCGGTCAACATCGTGTGGGCGATAAGATCGATAACGGGCGGGGCCCCTTCGTCATCGATGGGCGGCAAGGAAAATCATCCCACTTGCACTGTGGGATTCCCGTCGACTCATGTATCCGCCCTCGTCTCCATATTTCTATTTACTCTTTCTCCTCATGTTTGCCTGATCCTCCGAGCCCTGCGTCTTTTTGTCTTCCTTTCCTCCAAACATTAGACCGTCCCTCCTCATAATGCGTAACACTATCTGCCGTTTGCCCAACGGCCAAAGCTACACGGTGACCCCCGTGTTTGGCGGTGTCAACTTCAAGTCCAATGACATGCACTTGAAAGACTCCATAATTCCTCCCGGGTGGACAATTGTTCTCTATACCAACCAAAACCCCGATCAGCCGGCGCAGGATTCCGTGCCCCCGGAAGAAGAGCGCGGTCGCTCTCGGTATACACAGGGAGAGGCAGAGGAGAAAACACGCACCACTCGCTTCACAACACCAACATTGAGCGATGACTGTTTCTACATTTCGTTTATCGTCAATCCGCCCAGTACTGACTTCAAACCTCCCGTCTCTCCGACTCGTCAGATTGCGATGATGATCTGGGTGAGCCTTTACTGGTACTTTCACGAGCCCGAGCCAGACCTCCACTTGCAGACGGACGCTGCATCTCGTACACCGCTCACAGGCAAACCGAAGGGAGAATGGCGCATCCATCTCAAGAGAGAGGGGATCTTCAAGGGACGCAATCTGCTGCAGAAGCTGGAACGCATGGGACTCATTGCATCGGAGGAATCATCCGTTGGGCTAGAGCCGAGCGAGACGCGAGAATCCGGAGCCTGGTCACGTATGTTTGTGAGCCGACGCAGTTTCTGGCAGATTGATCCCCGTCTTTTCGTCTTCACACTGGTTCCCGCGAACCCACTGCATTCTGCTCCGTCCTCGCCTTTCCTGTCTCCTAGATTTGCGTCACCATCGCGCGAGAGCCCGCTGCCAGGTGAGTCTCCGGCTTCCCCTGCGGGGAAGGACTTCCCACTACACACCAATGAGGGCCCGTTTGCTTCTAGCAGCCACCTTCCGACATACTTTCCCCCGCCTCCAACTCAGTACACGTTCACAAACGGGCTGCGGCACCCCGTCAGACCTAAGCCGCCCCATCAGGGAGAAGTGTTCTACATCCGGTTCATTCCCAGCGTCGGGCAGTACCTGTCATTCCGCGTGCCGGTTTTATCCTCTGCGATGCCAAAGCGGGGCCATGGCCATAGTCACTCGACGAGCAGCATTGAGCAACCGCCTCAGAACACGCCGTCTGACCTAGACCTGCTGCACAAGTGGATGAATGACCCGCGCGTAAATGCAGCTTGGGGAGAGGGCGGTCCAAAAGAAAAACAGGAGGAATTCCTTCGCAATAATCTTACCAGCCGTCACAGCTTCCCCGTCATTGGGTGCTGGGACGGCAAGCCGTTTGGGTACTTTGAAATCTACTGGGTCAAGGAGGATCGCTTGGGAGCGCTTATCGGAGGGGCGGACAATTACGACCGGGGAATTCACTTACTGGTGGGAGAGCAAGAATACCGTGGGTCACACCGGGTCGCCATCTGGCTCAGTGCATTGGTTCATTACTGCTGGCTTGCGGATCCGCGGACGCAGACAGTCATGCTGGAGCCACGGGTGGATAATGAAAAGTAAGCGTCATCCCAGTTCTTGGGCTGCAAGGATTCGCTGACATGCAATAGGATCATTCAATATCTTCAAAATGCGGGTTTCTACAAAGAAGGAGAGGTTACGTTCCCCCACAAGCAGTCAGCTTTGATGAAGATCAAACGCGACTCATGGGAGAGCCCAGTTCTATAGACAGTTTGGGCCTGTCCTTTGACTTTGTTCGTCACTTTCATATCTTGGTCTTTGTATATACCCTGGCATCTTACGGCATATTCGGCATGGCGTGGGCCTGTTTGGTTTAGATTGCATCACACATATGCCTTTGCTTCATGCATGGAGGGATTGCAACAGCAGTGAATGCTAGGACCAGCTACATTCACTTCAGGTTGAGAAATTCGGAAGATTTCGCAGCATATAAACCCCCCTCTCCTCTTCCAATCTGACTCTTTTACTATGGCTCATTCACTTTATAGATAGCAAGACGGCTCATTCCAGACTATTCACCACGTGAGACAAACATGGCTTCCTTCTTACCTCCATATTTTACCACCCATCCTTCATCGTTTCTTCTTCTATTGCCGCCAAAATCTCCATAATATGATGGACTGTTTGGCACAGTCAAGTAGCATCTAGTACAAGGCCATCCCTTCGGCAGTGTTTCCTTTTCCTTGCGGCATTCTGGCCCAAAACATACGGACTACGTCTGGTATGCCGTTAGATTCGAAGGCTCCCCCATGTTCGCATTGCTGACATCTCTCGCCAGACAAAGCTTCCCGGGGATTCCAGCAATTATTTTGCTGTTACTGCGACAACAGCCCACCCCTTCCCCGGAGTTCTGATTTATTGATATTGGCGGTTATCTAATGTTGTGCGAAGAATCCAAATCCTCTCCAATCTTGTGTTGCTCAGAGCTGCATCCGCGTCAACGCCCTGTGTCTCGTCGACGCTTCGCTGCCCATACAGTGGCTCCCAGAAGGCAGACGGCATGATCAAACCTATCGGCCAGTCCCTACCCACAGTCGTCATCGAGACTGGTTGGTCAGAGTCTCGAAAGCGCTTGAGAGACGACATGAACCCGTGGCCAGTCGGCGTGGGCGCTTATCGTCTTGCTGCAATGTTGGCGGGACTAATCACCCAGGCCAGCAAGGCTCAATTGACGAGACAAACAGCCCTGGTCAGCCTTCGACCTCACGACATGGAATTGCGGAAGAGCATATTCCTGCTTTCATAGAAACGCCAGTTTCATTTGTTCAACGTCAGCAATGCCTTTTTATGATCGAAGCATGAAGCTTCCCACCTCTATGGAGTGATCTCCAGAACGCATTCCGATTCAGAAATGCTGAAGAAATGCTGACACAAAGGAGACATCCCAGCCATGCAAGTTCAACGACAGGGCTACAGAGGCACACGCAGCTGTTCATATTAGTGAACATCCCGCCAACCCACCACCTCCTCTAACCAATCTGTGCGGCATCATGAGCAAGTATGTATTCCAAGCAACAGTGCCCTGGAGGGAAACATTGGATATGTAGATACCGGGACCAGCAAGTTGGTGGCCTGACTTTTATGACTTTGTGAATGGGATTCGATATTGGGGGGGGGGGGGGGTGGAGTTCTCATCCAACGCCGTATTAATGGGAGTCCAATCCTTTTCGCCTGTCCGTCCAGGGCCATATGTTTCTGCCCGCTTTCGTCGTCATACGCCCTACTTAGCCGTTCAATGAGCTGTCAAGCATCCTTTATCGCTGTTTTCGATACAGCACAAAAACGGGATAAGGATATAAACCGTCCTGCGCGGCGATCGATGGCGACTCAACATCCTTCTCAGCAACAGCAGTATGTTGCCAACAAGGAATGATCTACGCGGCACGTGCATTAGTGACTGGGACGCTTCCTATGACAATCTACTTCCACGAACTTCTTGATCGTTCTCAAAACGCCGCAGGGAGATATGAAGCGGTGGAGCAAGTTCAACTTCTGTGGCCCAGAGCTCAGCTGTCGTATTCGGCGACTCCGGCAATAGCGGGCCGTATACCGCGCGTACACTTGATTTCCGATAGACAAGGTTGGGTCAACGAGTACTTCATACGCTGTGGCCAATGGTCGTGGAGTGAAACTCGCCGAACCATCTCTTACAGCTGCCGCTGGGCTCCTAACGAACTATCAGCTCAAAATGTCGTCCTCAGCCGAGCGAGAGCCGGTCTGTCATTTCCGGTACTCGAACATGTACTCATTCCCAGTTCCAGGATACTCTTGAAGTGGCCTCGGACATCGCGTCATATTTACCCCCTACAGACAAGAAAAGAAACGGAATATGACTTGCCGTGGCATAGCCGTTCCGATCGTAATCGGTGTCCCGTATCACAATCCATTGATTCTTGAGATCTCGAATACAAGTTGGTGGAGACCACACCCGCATCTTTACAGACATAATAATTGCTCGTCTTAACCGTGAGCTCCTCCTCAGCAGTTCTTTCGTGAGGTCGGCCGAATAAATGGCCGATTGCACGTTCCTGGCGAGCATGGCCTGTCACAGCGGACGGCTGTTACGGCTACCATCGACATGGCACTTTGATTTGCAATTTCCGCAAGCGCTGTATCGAACTCGGGGAAAAGTATACCACCTTGCGCGATATGCCAGCATCCTATAACTGGTTTGTGGGAGCAAAGCTCCTATGAACAGAAGAAGTGTTCCAGATTCTCGCAGTCCAATTTCGCTTCGTCTTCATTACGCTCGATTCTGCGATTCCATTCTTTGACTTTATCAAGCTACTTGCCTTCGAAATGGCGGCGTTGACCCCTGGTCAACCGGCCGATCGCCTCACTGCTCGCAAGTTTTGATGTATGCCTTTTTTAGAACTTCGGCGAAGAACTGGAAACGGCACGGGTCCTAAGGGCAAGAAAGCGTATGTGGCGACGCTGGAGGAAGCTGGAAACCTCGGTGATTAAGTTCGATGCTTTGAGCCCTATCCAGAACGCCAGGTCTCGGCTCCTGCATGAAAAGCTCTGATCCATTGGCGAACTACAACAACTTACATTGATGTGATCATTGCAACACCGTCCTTCATGGCTACTGTTTTTCTAAGCGCAAGTTTCGCAGCAGGTGGCAGTGAACGTCTTGTTCTCTGACAAATCATTCTACCAGCAAATCACTGTTCTAGCATGGTTTGTCTTGCTTCTTGCCGCATCCTTCCCACCTATGACGATCAGAAAAAGGCTTATATCGATGCAATCGAACAAGCGCGTGGAGAAGGTGTCGACTTGGTCGACACTACTAGGCAACAACTTCTTCCATTTGCAAGCGGTTGATGCATATCAGACAATCGCAGATGACTTCACTGCTCTCATCCATCGCTTTAAGTTCAATCACGTGCAGCAGGCTGCATTCGCACGCCTCCGCGCCCTACCTGGTGGGTTTGATCTCATCCAAGGGCCCCCTGGCACTGGAAAACCTAATGGGCGGTCCGAGATTTTCTCCTGTTCCTTGCATACAATAATCGTCATACCCGCAGACGGCACCAGGTCATGCTCTTAGCACCATCAACGACGTCGTCAATGATCTCGCCGTCGGGATCGAGGAAGCTCGGTTACAGTTCGTCCCCGACCGTGAGACCATCATTGTCCGTTGCCATGCGCTCAGCACTGGATAACCACCTTGTTTTGTACAAGGGCAAAGCATGCGTGAATTTCCTCCTGCTTGATGGGATGGTATCGAGATTTGAGGAAACTCGCCTTTGGTCTGTCTGTGGACTCCCGAACTCTTGATCCACTGATGCTTGTTCCACCGAGTCTGACCTGACAGCTCAGATCTGCGTTGATCCCAACCTGCGCATGAGATGTCTGGAGCCGACTCTTATCATCGCCGACTGCCTGTCTCTTTCAGAACCTATCTGCCCTCTTCCCTTCTGGTCTTGTTCCAGTTAGAGGCTGCAGGCAGTCTGCCTGAAGATGTCTGGGGTACACACAGAATGGATAGGCAGCAGTTACCGGTTAAGTGTGCGATTTGGGTTCAATAAGCTTGAGGCTCGGACAGATGGAGCTCCTCGAATTTCCGAGGAGCCGGAGAGAGTCCATGCAGTCATTGAGTGCAAGGCCATGGCCATAAGTAAGAGAGCTATGCCAGCGGACACTCAATTTTCTTTCTCTTTCGACTATCTTGACAGTTGCGGATTCGAGATTGAACGCGGGACATCGGCCTCTTCCTGGAACAAGTTGCTCCTGGACAAAGGTGTGTATATAGCGCAGTTTAACGACAAGGCTTTGGAGGCTGCAGCTGCGATTGGAATCAATCCCACCAGAGCTTGTCCCTACAGTGCAGCGGCTATGTCAAACGAGGCCCAGCTACTTATGCTGCGAATCGCAAAAGATATTTTATCCCGGCAAACATAACCGATGCTATCCAAATGATAACAGCAAAGATATAGTGATCCATGGCCCTTGGGCTTTACGAATCATTCGCCTGAAAATAGTTCGTTTGCTAGGAAGCTCTCCTCTCAGGGAGCCCGCACACTTGTGTCGAGTCATGTCTCACTGCCTAAAATGCAGTGCTCCTTTTCCTGATGATGCGCAACTCATCGATGTTGCTTTTATGATACCACCGCTGATTCAGATCCAGACCGTGATCTGTTCTTGGCAGAGGTCTTTTACCACCCAGCAATGAATTATCGTTGTTTTATTGCTCAGGTCATGCGGATTGTCTGTGCTACCTTTTGGTCAGGAGCAGATGGTCATAGAAGGTTCTCAGACTTTTGGTGGCGGACCTGCGAAGGGGCACGCAACTTGATTCCAACAACCCGCCTGGGGCAGGCATATTATCTGATGACAGACGCAGTCAAGCAACATTGAGGAAACCAGTGAGGCAATCATTGCGGGAGAAAGAGATGATCTTGAAGTGACAGGACTGACATTACTGTCCTCCAAGAGTGGGCAAGCCCAGATTAAAGTCTCACGAGTGTCTGAGTGCGTCAGCAATACTAGTACCAGAAAACGGATGTTTACAGTTCGGCATGATCCCGCTTATAGAGAACTGACACAACTAGAGATCCAGACACAGATGAGCCTACTAAACGGGCGCCTTTATCAAGGGCAGAATTGGTGGTCGTGCCACAGGAATAAAAGAACATCGCCATATAGATGGCCTTAATTTACTATCGCGGTTCCTCTTGTTTGTTCACTGGCCGATGGTGATGTGTTGTGGAAATGTTCCTTGACTCGATTGGTGTGAAGTACCAGACTACCCAACTGGGAAGTGGCTGAGATGAATGACCTAGTGATCATTCAGGGCAATAACTTCATGTATGTGCTACCTGTGGATGCCTATCAGACCATTGCGGAGGAACCCCCTGTTTTGGTCCATTGCTGGAGACGCATTCTGGAGCTAGAGGACGGCCGAGCTGATTCCAAATTACGTTTGCTATTCTTCCCAACGCAAGAGGACTATTAGGAGGGTAAGCAGCAGAAGACCTTGGCGGACTCACCAAAGCTGTACTGCTCCGGGGTTGATAAAGACCAGTCCCGGGGGATGGGCCATATCAACGACCTTATATGTGACGCGATTTCTAATGAGATAGAATAGCTGTTACTGTTGCCCTTGGTGATACTTTTCCTGGTTCTCTTCTTGCGATGCAGTGACAGCGGATACCGCGGACCGGTCTCTTAGCCCTAGAACCCGCAATTCGAGTGAATTGTGCTATCTTAACGTCAACACAGATTTTAGACATGTTATACATGAGATGGATTGAAGAATCGATGTTTTGCAGTCGTAATATAGTACAGGTATCTAAGAGAGAAATATCATACAGCCATCATAAAGTCCCTCAATCGGTAGTCCTCGACAGACCATCATGGCGACGGGTTACGGCGCGGAGATTCCCAAAAGGAAGGACATCTCCGATCCTCTTAGCGCCCGTGAAGAGCATACAGAGACGATCAATGCCACAGCCCCAGCCACCAGTAGAAGGGAGACCCCACTCTAAAGCTTCAAGGTAGCTCTCGTCAATCTCCGCTGGCTCATCGGTGCCCTTATTGTAGCGGACTTGGTCCTCGAATTTCCGTCTTTGCTCAAAGGGAGAGTTCTCCTCTTCGTAGGTATTGACGATCTCCCGTCCGTCAATGAAGAGCTCTGCGCGCGCCGCGACAAGCTGTTGATTGGAGGGGTGGATGAAGGACTTTGATAGCGGGGACAGGCACTCTGGAGGGTTGATGATGAAGGTCGGGTTGATGCATTCAGGTTCAAGGTAGGTGCTGCAGAGCTCGTCGAGGAGACGGGGAAGAGTGGGGTTCTTAGGAATAGGAAGGGAAAGGTCTCTGAACAGCTGGCTGACGTGGTCTAGGGCATACGGTGTGGTGAGGTCGGGGAGTCTGCGACCAATCTTGCCTTCAATGCCGGTGGTAAAGTCTACTCGACGGAAGGGGGCCGAGAAGTTGACTTCAGGTGGTTTCAGACTGGCGTTCTTGTTGAACTCCTGGATATGTGCCGCCATGCCAGATAGGAGGTTCTCTGTGATGGACATCAGATCTTCGAGGTTGGCGTATGCATGGTAGAATTCACATGTCGTAAATTCGGGGTTATGCGTTTTGTCCAGCCCTGTCCCAACATGTCAGTCACTTGTCTCACTTATCACAAGACTTCGTAGGACCATTAAGCGTCCGTGTGGACTTACCTTCGTTACGAAATGATGGACCAATCTCAAACACTTTGTCGAATCCACCGACCACTAAGCGCTTCAACCATAGCTCTGGCGCGATTCTCAGAGACAGCTGCCTATCGGGAAATTCGGTAGCAGAAGTTTGAAACGGGCGGGCCATGGCTCCGCCAGCTATCGAGCCAATGATGGGAGTGCTGACTTCCATGAACGATCTGTCGAGAAAGAACTGGCGCAGAAATTGAATGATAGCTGATCGCGCTCGGATGATATCTGCCGCCTTCTGGTCCGCAAGGAACTGGACATGGCGTGGGTAGGGAGATGTCTCATGCTCTTCGGCGTTGACGGGAACATCGTGCAGGCAGGGCGACAGCAGCTGAGGAAGCTCAGTTGCAAGAACAGTGAGCTCCCCAGTTCCTGTGCGGTGAGGTTTACCTGTTACGGCTATGGAAGGTCGTTCAGTGTCAGGTGGTGATACTGGGGATGGCTATATGGCACAACATACAGAAAGCATCGCCGCGGCGAAGGAGACGGTAAAATCTCTTGAAAGCATCGGGAGCTACTCCGCCCAGTTTGCGAATGTTGCACATAACCTGGACCTTGCAACCATCCTGGAAGATATCGAAGAATATCAATTTGCTCCCGGCCAGTCTATAGGCACGTATTCTTCCTACAAATCTAAGTACAGAGGACAACCGAGTAGGGCCAGAACAGCGGCAACCTACCATTAACAATGACAGTGTCATCTTCTACTGTTTGATTGCTGGTAAGGTGGCTATATCGATCACGGAATGCCGCACAGCTCAGCGACCGGTTGTCACTTGAGAGGCGAGGATATGGGTCAGAACAGGCATTTTTGACCTCCTCAAGCCGGTATCTGAATGCTTTCTCCGGGGAGGCTGTGCTGCTGCTATGCCTTGTACGTATAGATGATGATGAGACCGGTTTGATTGTTCCAAGTAAACTATCTGCTATGCGAGAAGTACGATTGTTACTGGAAGTAAACGGCGATCCTGCACTGATAGATTGCTCGTATTAGCTTATCAACTCAAGCAATACAATTTCTCCTCAGACAGCAGAATATGAATTGGGCATTGAATCAGGTAAAAGAAATGACTCCGGTGCGATCAAGTGCTTGAAACAAGCATCATCTGCAGCGGTTCTGGAAAGGAATGTGTGTCTCATCATTCAATTGATGGGAAATAGTCAAGGAAGGAGAAAATAAGCTTCTTACCTAAATCCAAAACTCTTCGAGCATAATTGCGAAGCCCACCGGGGGCGAATCGAGTGCATATTAAAGAGAAAAGCTACAGTCACATCACGTTAAGGATGGAAAAAGAGAAGAAAAGAAATTGCACTGGACATGAGAAGGTCAAAGAATTTATGGAAGGCGGTGGGAAAAGACGGTCTTAGCTCCCGGGCTCATAGCAGCAACTCCGTCCGGGCCGCAATATCATACATATCTCATCAGAATCTATTTGAGCTACCATTCATCACCAGACCCTGCTTCCTACACGGTCAGTATTAATCTTGCTTTCTGATCAGGCAGTTATTGTTATTGAAGAATGCTAACCCCTTCACAGATACCTGATCACACAACTCAGTCAAGCTCCGTCCATAAATTCCATCATCATGTCTTTCCTCTTCGGCGGTCCCCCCAAGATGTCCTCGGCAGAGAAGATCGCTGCCGCAGAGACAGAAGTCGAGATGGTTTCCGATATGTTCAACCGGTAAGATGCGCCAGTCTCTTCCTTACCTGTACCAGTGCCCGAGATAGTACCATAGCCTTACTCTCATCCGCATTTGATAACCCAGCTAACGCCGTACTCAATCTCAGTCTCACCGAGTCCTGCCAGAAGAAGTGCATTCCCAACGATTACCGCGAAGGCGACCTGAACAAGGGCGAGTCAGTCTGTCTTGACCGCTGCGTCTCCAAGTTCTTTGAGGTCAACATCAAAGTCAGCGAGAAGATGCAGGGCGAGGCGGCCCAGAAGCAGGGCGCTCCT